CGTACCGTCTAGATAGCGGTAAATAGCCAACCAGGCCTTTAGACAACTGCATACCTCCTATCACTAGACCTTACGGCGCCCTCCGTGGCCGCTTGTCTGTCTCGGCCTTAACAGGTCTTTCAGCCGCAGGACAGGATCAAAGGTGATGAATCGGTGCTCCAGTGGGTAACCCTACCCATGTGTGATACTGCATGCTCCTCAAATATCCCGTACTCTCTGCAAGGCATGCTTAACCGGGAATGATTGTTTAAGGAAGCTACTAAAAATCAGACCTGGTTTTTGGGAGAACAAATTGTGTAGTAGCACATATGGAAGCTACGTGAGGAAGCGGATATCCTGTTCTCTGGCGACAATATGGGTCAAGTTGAGACTCAGTCGCGCTCCATCAGTAGTCGCTGAGTGGAACTTGAAAGTGTCTGTCAAAAGTCAACTCTTTGATAGTGAACTTCTGCAGACACCCAGCCGTAGCATATTATTAATCTTTCTGTAATGCATAGGTTTGTTATCCGACCAACGAAATCATTTTGATCAGGTTTGCCTACCACTACCAACAATGCACCTCCCTACCCTTCACCCTCCCAGTTCGTGGATCCAAGGTAGTAATGAATCCTTCAGAGATTGAAGATCCACCTACGAATTAATGAATACAATTAAATAAACTTGTATCACAGTGAGGTTGTTGATTTTGCCTAGTTTAATTCACCACATCTCTTCCCCTAGTATAAGGGAATTCTGCATTTCCTGCCCACCTGCCTGTCGGAGTTATTTTTGTCTCTTCAATCCCGGGATATTTACTGTTCTTGCAAGGGTATGGCAAGTCGTCTTTTTTTGGCGGGAGGCCAACCACAGCCACCGTTGAATTATTTTTATAACTCTTGGGCCAATTCAGGAAGCTCCTATCAAACTCCTCTTTTTTTAACTGCAGGAGCACGGGCTTAAGGATGTGGTGAGCGTGGAGCATCGTGACGTTCTCTCAGACGGCTTCCCCGAAGCTGGTTCCCAACACAATCCAGAGGGTTGTCATGCCATCATGATTGATTTGCCTGAACCATGGGTTGTGATTCCAACGATCGCCAAGTGCTTTGCTTTATCCGGTAGGTCACGTTACTCATCCCCTCCTTCCAATCTTGGTTCGGCTTAATCTCTCCGCACGTCATTCTGGCAATCACACCCTTCTGGTGTGTTGCTGATGTGTCTACTGGTGCCCTATTTAGTAGCGTTTGTGTTCGATTTCAGGTGGTCGGGTGTGTGTATTCTCGCCGTGTATAGAACAAGTGCAGAAGACCTGTGAAAATCTACGATCCGCTGGCTTTTTGGATGTTGAAGTGATTGAATGCATTTCAAGAAACTACGATCCTGTCCATACCGTTTTGAATGTGCCCAATTTGGGTAAGACTGTCACCTCATTCATCCTCAATTTTAAATGATACAGTAAACGTTTAGCTCCTCCCGAAGACGTTATAAGTTGTGTGAGTTTGGATCCAGCTTTCTTGGTAGTACGTAGGAGGCTCCGAGGGAGTAACAGTATCACATATTCCCCTATTCATTTGGAATCTATCGCTTGAGGCTGAAAAAAAAAATTTTTTGGATACGAATTTTCCATACTTGTCACTTCTTGTGGAATTGACTGTCTTAAAGCAGCATTCACTTCCTTATTCGTGGTGTGGTCCTGAGTTAATAGCTTTCAGTAGCTCTTTAGTACCACTCAGATAAGCGTCTAGATTACTCTCAGATCTCTGCAGCATGAAAATGTACCTTTATTGTAGGAATTTTGTAAGGAGTTCCTTTTGCGGCCTGTATGAAGCCGTTCTGTAACCAGTCACGTTGTAGTACTAGTTTTTCTCCGTTGAACCACCACAAATTTGGCCACTCCCAACCGATGTCCATTCTATCAGGTGACCGAAGAAGTGCCGTAACATCTTTTCGTGACCTGTAGGAACTCCCAAAATTCATGTGATTGGTTGTATGTATGGTTTATAAAGCATAATCAGTCTATCGGCACTTTTCATTGTCATACTGTCAGTTGAATGGGTCTGATTTGGGACTTGGAATTGGATTCCAAATCTACAAGATCTCGTTACATTTTCCGTATAGCAGTTGAAAAAGGTGTGGTGGTAAAACGCATCGTCCAAAACTTGTGTTAACGCGATTTTAGGTGGTGAAACATGCAAAGGCGGGTGCTTTACTTTCGTTATGAGGTGAGAGTTGCGTGTCACCAACTTGGTTATGCATGGTTGACGTGTGGTGGGCAGTGGACGTGATTTTCCACTTTAAACGTCTTGCTGGAGATTAAACGAATATGACTGAGGCTTACTGAGTGTGTGTAAGAGCAAACTACTCCAGGATCAGCCATGAATAGTGAATCAAGAGAGGGTCCTACTCTTACGGGGCAACTCCAGACCTCATACCCCACAAGTGGTACTTTAAAATGGGAGGTATTGGCTCATTCTTGAAATTTCCTCAATATTTTTTGGCATTAGGCGGTTGGATGCGAAATGAGAGGGTTAGAAAGCACAACCAAGACAGGAGTAGACCGTTTCAGAAATGTGGACTTCACAAGCCTTTGCCTCGCTTAGAAGGAGTCAGAGATTGTAATTGGTGGTCTTTTCAACGAAAAAGGATATTTTCTTATCACTTATAGCATAAGTGGCATGAAGAGAGAACTCGATGTCACTGGCGCGGAAGGTGATTGGCAGGCGATGGAAAAGGCGAGAACAATGCTATATGCAAATGACGGAAACGTCTTCCTGCTCTAGAATTGCTGCTACTTTAATGCTTCCATATTTCTGCTTTCAATCATCAAAGGTTAACTTAGGCCATGTGGGAAAACGTATGTGACTTTGCAGTGGTATATGCCATTTTCAATTCTATCACATGCAACAGTTTTTACTTTCTGTCTCCAAAATCGGTTTAACGCAAGAATTTTCATCTAGTACTTTACTCCACAACACTATGTTCTGTTCAAACCTCTGTAACCGTTTCTACCTCACCAACTCAAGGTCTGAAGATCATTCAATTTAGGCAGGTGCTAGTCAAACGCAAACATAAATTTTCAGTCAGCCCTCTTTTACTTCCACCTTGAATAAATTACGTTGACCTTCATACACAACAGGCAGTTGCGAACTGATCGCTCGGTTTATTTGGTTATTCCCAGGTCAGGATAATGCCACGGACCTGTTCAATGGCACCTACACGTACAAAAAGGCACAAGTAGCCGAGGCTCCTGGGACCGACAGCGGGGCAGACAAGAGACTAGCGCGTCGAAACGAGCCGCACCTCTTTCCTCCGCTCAGTAACTACCTCACCCTGAATGAGAACCCCAAGGGCAATGGTCAGGGATATCGTCAGTACGGTTACTGGGCTGCCTTGCCTAGGGTAACCTTTTTCACTACCTTTTGTCTATGTGGATGCGTAAAGTGAAGAGAGTGCAGCGTTTTTTTGTTACCTGTGACAATTACAATACCCGATGGCTGTAGTAACTATTCCATTCGTTGTCACATGGTTACCGTTGGCAGCCACACATTGGCATGGCTGGTTGATGTTAAAGCCATAAAAAGGGTGAAAATTAGCATCGTTGCCTATTTTAGGCTTTTTATGTAACACAAAAGAGGGTGTACGTTACCCTTAGAGGTAAAAACAATCCCACCACAATTCAGATGTTTTCCTATTTAACTTTGACAGCATTCACCATTAGGTTGTTTTGACAGACTTGAATGTCACTCAAAAACGGGGGAAAAAACGTTGTCATCCTCAAGCTTGAGACATCCCAAATCGCCTTGACTGCTTTAAACTCGATCAGTCTGTTTGAGGCACGATTTAACGCTGTCATTTGAGTGGCAGGTAGATTTAAAGTGTTACGGAGCAATTTGAACCAAATTGGCGTGGTAAGAAATCTGAGTATATGTGAATGGATTTCTCTGGATGAAGTAGGGCGGTTTCACTTCTTCAGTTGCTTTCCTTTCACGGAATGAAGTTGAATCGCATTAATTTCTCATCCTGGAGCTATATGTTTTCACCTGTGCTGCAATCTGGCGGCCAGTGTTGAAGGCACGAAGCTCTGGGTTGTCGTAACGGCGATAAAGGAGTAGACGGAGTCGTTTTGAAGCCTGAATATGCGTTACATCAAGGCATGTGGTGGTCCAGTCTTGTAGTTAATCAAAATTGTCGAATAGGTAGGTGAATGGTTATAGTTCAGGGCGTTAATCATTCACTTCGACTTCGACTAATTAAGAAACAAATTATTGTGGACGAGATGGTTGAATTTGCATGTTTTGCCCCTCGCTTGGCGCATTTGTCAGGTCCTTTGTTACCTTTCAAGTCGTGCTGTACAAAAATCAGCCCTTTCGTCCGCATTCGAGAAAAAGTTGAATCCCACCGATGCTTACTGATCGTAGTAATTCGTTCTTTTCAGCAAAAAGACACGGGTCACACTGGCTACTTGACCTTCGCTTCAAGTATACCCATGACGACGTCCGTAAACAATCCATCTTGCGATGTTGACAATCAAGGTGACGCGGTGGAGTAGAGGGGCGTCCAATGTGCCCTTAGATGCTTGTCAATCATCTTGTAAAATTTCACCCACTAAAGACTTTCTGATGCCTTTGGATTGGCTCAGTTTTATTTCTCACTTCTTTGGGCTGGATGGTACTTGAGGCCTAGACTTAATTTATATTTCTAAATTATAGCTTATTAGGATCATGCATGTAGGCACCCACATTCTCCCTGTCAAGAGGATAAGTATGAACTAGCCTGGAGGTCATTTAAGACCCCCTTTTTCACCTCCCCATTGTCTTGTACTAGTTGACATGCTATGACAAAATACAGCATATTTGGTTATACCTTTCTGTTTTGTTTTTTTTTTTGATCAGGTAACTGTGGACTTGTCGCACTTACCTCTTCAAAACGCCTTGCTAACACCTTGCTCTCCTCTTCGGTGATGTGGCATTGCATGGCCTGAGAGCATGCATTGGCTGATTGGCTTCAGGTCTAACCTAGCTAACCAGCGCCGATGCAAATGCAAATGCAGTGGTGAGCATGGGTTGTGTATGCTTTTGAAATGGTTCAATCCATCCTAAAAGATGTCGCCGACCACTACGAAGAAAGTGGCGTGCATATATCAACCGAGGTAGGGCCGTTTTAGTTGAAAAAGTCTCCCCACCTTCTATCACGTCGAATTCAACCGTTGGAGGTCTTTTTCGGCGTTTACGATTGCTGTGGTGAACTAGGAGGAAGTTGAACTCATCAGGAGCTGGAACTTTTAGTGTGCGGAGGCTCGCAAGTCGTGTTTTCGTGATTCCATGCGAAATGGGGTATTCTAGCGCCTGAGGCACTTCTGAAGACGTCAAGGCATTCAGGATCCTCCTTCTGAGGCGATCGAGGCCATAATGTGACGAATTGAGCAATCCAGTCGAAATGCTTTTCAGTGACACAACGCGAGGCGGCTGTTCGTCCGCGTCCTCGCTGAAAGAAATTACGAAAATTTTTCATAAACCGCTAACTGATTCGACTCGCACATTTCGGGTTAGTTTAGGTCTCCGCTAGGGCAAAAAAAGTATGGAGATCACGAAATGACTTGTATTTTCAAGGCGAATTTTCGGGCACAAAAGAAGGAGGGATTTTTTATCCCGTCTCTTTAATTTCCAATCTCATCACAAAAACGGAGGAGGAAAAGGCGTGCCTAAAACCTTTTACCCCTTAATTATAAGTTGAGGTTGATGAACTGCTCCCAAAGCAAGCCGCATTTTGAGCGGTTCTAGGTCTCCGAATGTTTTTCGCGTGCGGTAGTCTTTTGCGTCATCACCCAGTCGAACCTTTTTTGTCGCGTTCGGTATCATAGACCACGACTGAGTGAGTGAATAAAGCCTGAAAATATAGGCGGACTGGTCGAAACAAGTCCGTCTCATGTAGCCGCTTACAATGTCAAAGTGTTGCTTTTCTGGAGCGTCTATATTTGATACCAATCAGGGCGACCTTCTCCAACAATTTTTAGGACCAAATATGCTACTAGTTACAATATAAGTAGACTAACATCTATCCAAGGTAGTTATTTCATTACCCTTTTAGTTCAAATGTCACCATTGCAAAAGATTTTATTGGTACTCCTCGTGGCTGTTGCGTACCGTTCGACACGCCAGTACTTAGCAGGCTGTGTCTGCTCTCTAGAGGGACGTCTAGAGGATCGTGTGGCTCTCATCTTGGCCGCGGACACGGATATTGGCATCGCGACAGTTCGTGGGTTGGCTAGACGCGGCGCCCGTGTTGTCATGGCCTGCCAGGTTGTAGAAATCTGCAACACCGCGCGGCAGCAACTCATCAGTGAATTTGCCCACATCAAAGCGGGCAGTAGTTCGCCTGAAAAAATCGCCGAATCGAAATTGCGAGAAGATACGATCAGAAGTGTGTCCTCCATTAAGGCTGATCAGGTGGGTCAGTGTGAGCATGGCTAAAAGTGACTTGATTTCGTTTTTTTTTTCAAAATCTAACAAAAGTAATGCGAACCATCGTAGTTCGCGCACACAAAGGTTGTGCGTAGTACTAAAAAAGAAGACTCTAGGACTGGAACCCATACACGGCATCGCCTTTGTAGGGAACACTTGAAGCACCAGCGTCACATATACGTGACGACTTATTTTTCATACTCAAGCTTACAAGCATTGGAAGCAGTTGGTGTATCCTGGTAGAATAATAAAATATCTGGACTGTGTTAGTCGGTTCCAGTAGTGGAACCAGTCCATGACGCTTCAAGCTTGCTAAACCGCGGTTGTGGTGGATACAACGATGCAGCCAACACTTTTGAGAGATTCATCTATTATTTCGACAAAGTACAACGCCAGACTTGAACCCAAAACCGTGATCAATCAACCTGACAAATGAACAGAGAAACTTCGGTTTGTTCTGCTGGTGACACCATCACGCACGCAGTCACACAATGATTAGGGGGCGTGATAAAGTTGGGTCACAGCAAGAGCATTCCTGGTACAGACAGGATCCATGTATATCATGAATCGTTCTTTTAAGCTAAACAAACGCATAAATCCTTTTCTTTTTACTCTCAAAGTATTTACTTCGAAGGCAATTTTTGTTTGAAAGGTATACGTTATTTTTAGGTGCCATCTCTCCGCTGAAGTATTTAAGTTTGGTCAACTTTATCGAAATAATCACCCCTCATGACGATGGCATTCCATGCTGTCAAAGTCATGTTATTAAATTGTGTGCTCAGTAGAGGTGTTTTGACAATTGATGTGTGCCTTATGCCTACATAGACATGTAATTCATCAACTCGGTGATTTTCTGTATTTGAGTTTTGGACTATCTCTGGCACCCCGAGTCTTCCGGATGTACAGAAGAGCTAAGACCGAGTTTTTAGTGCCCGTATAATCAAAGTAATGAGTTCACCAAACAATTAAGATACTACGCAGCCCCTCTCTTCATTTGAGTGTGGTCCTCCGTGCTCTTCTGGGTCAACCTCCAGCGTCGGCCATCACAGTGTGGTCGGTGATGTAAGATAAGCACCCACGAAGCAACCGCGCTAGTCATCGAATTTGCGTACAACTGAGAGGATAACTGACCGTAGAGACACTGATGCCTCTTGGCAATTTTACTGGAACTGGAGCTTCATCTTGTTTGGAAACTGTATTTGAGGGATGAAGGAATGTGTTCATTGACTCTTGTGTCCACCACCATTCTTGAGAACACCGACCTAAAGCCAGTTTGTTCTCACCTTGATACTGCCCATCCATGTCTAGGCGGGTTCTTACAGCTAGTAAAGGGGTGCAGGAGGTACCACGTGTTCACTTCATTGGCATCTTCAAACAGGTACCGTAGGCAACTCCCTAACGAACTTATCCAAATGGCCCGTTGCTAGTGTTGCTGCAGAACACGAGACTGGAGTAGTCGGTGACGGTAGACGCCATTTTCAGTCCTTCTGTTAAGCGTCGTCATTGACTCTCTCATGTTAATTTTTAGCATCGAGTAGTAGAAATCGGAGCAGTTGTCTTTAACTGCCACCAATGCAATGTCCTGAGTCTCTCCTGAAGTCGAAATGGAGAGTTGAAATTAACCGCGATTTTCAACACCCATAAGTACATATAAAACGTGAGGCAGCTCACCGATGTCCCGTGCCACCTTTATTTCATCTCCTCATTTTATGTCCAATTTACTAACGTCTAGCCATTTGGCAGTGTGGAGATTGTAAATCTTTATATTTACTATTCCCAGACAGTCTTGATTCACTAAGTCCTGATTTTGCCCCATTGTTAAATAAATTTTTTTTGGGATTTGGCGTGGCTTTAATAACCTTCGCAGACTTAGCTATCCACAATTAATGTGTCAATGGGGGATTTTCACCTTAGCAATCAGTTAAATGTCGAAAGATTTGACGTCTGAGTGATCTTTTACGATGTCATCAGGCATGTGGTCATAAAAACTTTGATGCAACTCATGGAGTGAGTGGCAATGCATAAGGGATTGCGCCACCGGTATTTGATGGTTTATTGACACCAAACCCTGCATGACTAAAATTCCTATTATATTTAATAATCTAAAGGCCATTTTCTCGGGTACTTCTTTTTTCTAACTTCAACAGCTCTACGTCAGGAGTCTCCACATCTCTTCGGCCGCCGCAATCAAAAAATTCTGTGAATCCTTCATCGCTGAATTCAAGCAGCTCAACATCCTCATCGTGAATGCAGTCTACCTTTCTGCAAAACCCGAACGCACTGTGGAGGGCTTCGAGCGCAATATGGGGCTGAATTACGTGGCAAGTTTCCTACTCACCCAACACCTCTTGCCCCTGCTGGAGCAGTCAGCTAAGGTAGACGCCATCTCGCGTGTAGTCTTTGTCTCCTCCCGACTGCACAAGTACGGCGAGTTGCCGACGACCTTGCCTACCACACGAATCGACGCCAAGGACTTTTCTTGGTGGAAGGCCTACTCGTCTAGCCACCTGGCACTCATAACTTATGCTAACTATTTGAATACGCGGGTGGATCCCTCCAAAACACGCATTGTCAGCGTCCATCCGGGGTTTGAAAATAGACACTTCAGTAGCATCCTTCCTGAGGTAAGTGGAAGTCCTCATGCCTTTCTATCTGACAAAATTTAATCCCGTACACCCATATGGCAGGCAGTGGTTTTCGTCAAACAAATAGGCAACTTTTAATTTCTCGCTCTTTCATAAATAGTCTCTACGGCGATGCAAAAGAAATTAAAGAGGCTAAAATGATTTTTAGCCTAGTACAACAAGAGGTCGAAGCAAAAATTGACGAGAGAGGTAACTGTGTGGTCTTTGAGTTTGATTTTCTTTTCAGCCATTCGCCTACTTGATGACAATGGTGGGCAAATCCGCCTGGCAAGCCGCTCAATCCACAATTTTTGTGACTTTGATGAGGCCCGGTGAGCCTGGAGTCTACTTCGAGGACTGTGTGTCTGCTTCGCCCCATCCCGAGTCCTTCAACACGGATGCAGCTAAGCAGATGATTAAGTTGACGAGGAGTAAACTTAAAGCCTACCTTCCTCAAGCCATTCCAAAGTCTACCAAAGGTGCTTGAACCCCCTATCCCGCCGCTGTACTACCGCAGTGATCGCACTAAGTATTCTTTGTGTTTTGTACCCTGTAACGCCACCTTGCCTTCTCTCTCTATCTTCGTGCTTTCAGATTCGTGCGTCTTTTTTTTTGAACTCATAAATGCCGTCATGCTATTTTACAATATGTCCACTGATGCAACACAATGTATCTCTGTGATTAGCATGGAATACGAAACCCACCCCCCAGTCCTCCCCAAAATCGGCCCGAGATGCACCAGTCTAGACGCTGCCTTACATCGGATGTGGCAGGCCGCCATAACACCCAGGTGGTGGTTGAGGCCTCCTTCAGAGTGAAGAGTCTGTGTAGACAAGCGTGGTTCTTTAATAAACTTTGTTTTGTCGTGGCGAATCACCTCATCCATTGATTTAAAATCATGACTTTTTTTTACAAATGTGGAGCCAAGGCATCACCAAGTCATGGACCTTTTTACTTGATCACAGAGGTGGGTAATCATTTGTCATTCTTGATTACAACAAAGGTCCAGGTTGATTGACAACCTCAAGGCGGTGATCTCATCAGAAACCTGTCTACAGGTCTAGCCGAAATCCATTTGCAGACCTTTGCAACCACAAACGTAGGCGTCTACTGTCAAAAATGCCAGTGAATAAAGTGTTCAGCGGTTGTGAAGTAATGACAACTGCACCTTAGGCAACATCTATAATGTAAAGGATGGAAGAAAAATGTTTCATAGAACCGGTTGTAGCGCCCCGACGCCTTCCTGTCGACGAAAGAAGACGCATTACTCGGAAGGGCATGGCCCGGAGGCCACACCGGCTGGCGGAGGTGCAATGGCGGAACCCTCCACTGACCCGTTAGCAAAACTGACCATGAAATCAACAACCTAGGTACAACATCAGCCTTTTTGGCTTTTCTAAATGTGGAATCAATTTTTCATTGGCTTATTCTGCGGACATTCCTTCAAAACCCCCATATAATGGAAAAAATGAAGAAGGTGTTTCGCATATCCTCAAATAAAACTCTGGATAAGACCTAAATTCTTGTTATCTTGAAAATAATTGTTATCTGATGACTTTCTCTTGGCAAGCGATGTCGTCAATGCACGACATAAAGATGAAAAAAGAGGGAAAATATAAAAAGAACTGGGAGAAGTGCCAGCAAATGAACGAGGAGAAATAAGGGGGGCGGAGGGGTGGGGGAAAATAAGGGAACAGATAATCTACTCAGGTATCTGAGAGCCCCCTTTGTCAGGAGGACTTTTGCAAGAAGGCCCACGGACTGATTCGTCGATACTCGGACGAGTCTGTGGGTTGAGGAACAAAGTACGGATCGTCTTCAGGGATTACCACGGAGGAGATCTCACTTGCTGTGTTAGTGAAGAAAACGTTGAAAGAGCGCTTCGTGTAGTCGGGGGAACGGCTTTTACCAGCCCTAGCCACTTGTTCCTCGTGAATGCGTCGCAAGTAGGCAGTGGAGGGATCGACTTGTCCGCCTTTGTATTGGCGGGGATTTACATTTGGCTAAAATGACAACAGTACCAGAAATTAACAATTGAATGAAAGAAACGTACATCGCTGCAGGACAATAAGTGTTAGAGCCGCGGTTGCCTTGACTACTGAGTTAGAGAGCCGACACATCCCTGGTTGCAACTAAAACATGCATTCTCATCATCATTTCCGTTATGCTTTTAAATAGTCTCAATCGGTAATAGCTTAGATATTTTTGTAGAATCGTACGGTTACAATTTCATGAAACAGGTCTAATTCAAAAGTTCAAGAGGTGGTTCAAGTTAAACCGGGACTTTTGGTTTATCATGAGCTATAAAACTCATTTCAAGGCGTAGAGATTTATAAGTATGATTAAACAGCCGTAGAACAGCCCAATTCACTTCAACGTGGATGGTACTACGCATGGACAAACCTTCCGGAAGGCCGAGCATTTGTAAATGACCGTTCGAAGTACCCACAAAAAGTTTCGCCTCTTGTGCAGTCAAGATGCTGATGCGAAGTCTATCATTCCAATGAGGACTGAATGTTCACGGAAAATGCTGCTGTTATGTGGATTCGTCAATAACGCACAAACGCAAGACCACTCAGATGTCTTGCCATTGAGCAAATGAGCATCGCATTTCCGCATCTCATTGCAAGTATCTCCAAACACGGTCACCTTCTACCTCAATTAGTACCTCCTAGACTGAGTAATTACTTGTGCATTGCATATCAGTAAGAAAGCACACTCACTCCCCGCTGTTCCATGCTGTAACCAACCAAAAGTCCCGATTTGACATGAACAAAATCTATGCTACTATATTGCACTTTCAGTAGGCTTGTCTGGGTTTCGCATAAGCTAATAATCCACTCTCAGTAAAAAAGGTAAAATCACCAAAAGGTGAGAGGTAAGTGGTTAGCAGGTTGTTAGAGCGCATAGTGAACTCACGAGGGAAATAACTAATGCTAGAAAAGTTTGATATGAGAAATTGAGGCTGAAATGGGGAGTCAGGATTTTGGGAGATTCTCGACTCCGCGGCTTGTTGTCCTATTGTTCCCTCACGGTTCGGCGCCCACTATCATACCCAGGGGAATAGTCCTGAAATTTTTGTTTGATTGGTTAAGCTTGCCACTCAAAATTTCCCTTTATTTTGCCAACTTTTTATGAGTTGGTATGTGGCTTAAAAAATTAACTGTGTTATAGTTGAAGCGATTTCAAAACGGAGGTTACAAATAAGACTGGAGATTTTAAGCCGTTTATATCAAAGCGATTTTGTAAAAAGTGGTGCTTGTGGTGTCAGATTAACTGAGTCCTGCATATGGATGATTCACAGGCTCTCATGTCCTTCTAAGTCCACTTGAAAACAACTGAAACCTTTCTCAGCTACAGAGGACCTTCAAATTTTCACAACACAGAGCCAGGTGTTAGGGAAATGCGCCAAGCTCGTGTGCTAAAGTTCTCCCGAAAGCGCCTTCAACACTCAAATGGCACGCGCTTTACCATAAATCAGACTGAAGGCAGACTTAAAATTCACACTTGGCATTTTGGAGCTATTTTAGCATTCTTCTTCGTTTCTAGCGCTTATGAAGGAAGCCCTCTTCGTAAGTTCATCCCCCCTAGCCATTAAAAAACTACTTCTCCGTGCCAGGCACGCACGAGGACGTAAATCGGTGTTCTCCGGGTGCCTTCTATCCACAAAAAGTGCTGAAGTTGGAATATTATTCCCCTTGAATGGGATTCACGCATAAGCTATGGTTGAAAGCGACAACTATTGCTCCAAATTTCAGGATCCACCGATCCAGATGCGTTCAGCTGATACTCTTTGCACCTGAACAGCTTCGAGGAAGAGTATAGACCTTGGAGACATTTTCAGTCCCTTTTTTCCTTCAATTAGTTCCATTAAATACCAAATACATAAGCGCCATGAGTACAAATACAACTGCGTTTGAAATGACGGCAAATTTGATTACGTTGTTCACATACTACTTAATGCAAAATAAGTAGGCTTCTCTGGACTTACCAAGCTTCCATAGTAGGCACCATTGACAGCACCATTGTACGAGTCGCTCGATTCGTCTGCTGTAGTTACTTCTGAAGATTTAGCGGCATTCTGGAAGTAAGTCTCAACATTTTTGTCCACATAGAGACGATAGAGAAGGTCCGGCACAAAACAGAGTGCAAACAGGACAAAAAGCCCAAAGTAGGAGACAAAAGCTCCCAGCCCCGTGCCAATCCTTGTCCATACCCCCAGCAGGGCACGCGGATCTCCGACAGGTAGCACGACATAGTTGCAAAGAATGAAGACAGCAAAATTGACCAACAATGTTCCCACCACGGAGACTATTAAAAATACATTGAAGTGGTAGCTGGCTAACATCAGTTTGATATTCACTGTAATGAAAACACAGTCGATCATGAAGGAGCCGAAACCCTCCAAAACACCGATGGCATTTCCACCGTTTCCTCCATTGGAAACACCCTCTGTAGCAAGGAAGTAGGTTCCAAAGAAGATGACCAAACCGTGCCAAAGTGAGAAGGAGAGCCAAGTAAAGAAGTTCCTCCACCAAAGCAGCCGATTCTTGGAGATAGTCTTGTAAATCTCGGCGTTGCTCATTAGCGCAATCTCCGGCAAACGTTGCTCAAAGATGCCGTAAAAGATTATTGGAATAGACGTCATGGTAATGTTGTAAAGCAGAAGGTAGATATTAGCGTAGATGCTTTGAGATGAGAAGAGAGAAAAGATTCCAAATAGCACCTGTGTCAATGTAAAAACGAGATTTTTGTAGAAGAAATATTGCACAAGGTTCGCTGTCCGCACGTAGTAATGAAACCCATGAAATAGGAGAGCGCGTTTGAGAAATCGGAACTTTCCCAGTGCGTAATCAGAGGCACGAACAGCTTGACGACCCTCTTTGCCAAATAAACCAATCCCGACGTGAGCCTCAAGAATCATGGAGACGTCGTTTGCCCCGTCACCAATAGCACAACAGACAGGACTGGGTTTACGACTGCCTTTCATCATTCGCACAATCTCAGCCTTTTGAATGGGTGTCAATCGACAGCAGAGAACAGAATTAGCCATTTGACAGAGGTTGAGAAATTGGTCTTTCAAAATCACCTAAAAATGTCAATAATGAAATGTGACTTAGGTCCATCAGCAACTATTTCGGTCGTATATGGCGAGGTACTACATCCCACAATATGTTGGTTCTACTAATTCCCGTGTCAGTAGTATCGCATGTCCATGTAGCTATCTTATTATGGGATGCAATTTTGCGTGGCTAAATCATCTGCTACGAATATTTTTTGTCAAGATTGTGATATACCATTGCCTTCCAATCACTATATTCATATCTGGATCTTTTTTCGAAAAAAATTGTTTCTTTAATGGAGTGGGTTTTGGATGGAACTGTTTCACAATCTCTCATACTTATAGCGTGTTTAGTTTCTCTGCCTCAAGGACGGATTATGATTTCACTCCTGTTTCAAGAGAACAGTAACAAGTCCTCCTTGAGAACGGTTCCTGAGAAACCCAGTAAATGACTAAAACTAAGTTTCCTTTGCTAGCCGTGTCTTGAATTTTAATCCTACGGAAGATGACAGGCACCTCCGTTACCCACCTTGCTGTCGGTTTTCAAGCATGCAACACCAAACTTGCGTTTTGGCATCAGTAACCGACTTGTGTCAAAAATTTATCACCCACCCCACGATAGCGTTTAAGGTTTTGGAACATGATGTTTGTGACCTCGCTTGTCATTTGCTCAGGCAGCCATATGACTGAACTTGTACCAACCGTTAGGCGGATCTAACACTCGCATTCAGCTTCTCTGGAGCCTCTTCAACTGTTATTCTGGGTGATTAATGCTCTCTCACTTTCTCTCCCTTTGGTCTGCTTACTGTGCTGTATTCTGGGCTGTCAAACGGAACTGGCCATCTGACACACCCACATAACGTCAATTACTCACCTTTCCACTACCACGGTTAAAGAAGCGTAGTACTCTTCTTTGTTTACATCCAGCGTTAAAGTTTAGATTAGTTACTACAACACAATGAGCAGCCACTTATGCAGTGATAATGAATGGGGGTTTAAAGAGTTATCCCCCAAGGGTTGTCAGGTACAGTTTTGCAAAATAAATTAATTTGCATTGGGTATTTAGAAGTGGAAGTTTGTCGTAGAGTCCACTCAATATATACGTTATGGTTGCTAAAAGTTTATTCTTCCCGATCCGATAACCTAGCAAGTACACGAATAAATCATCCAGCCCCCAACTCACAGACAAAGCGTAGTTGAGAGAATGACCGTCAATGACCAGGCCGAATGCGTAATCCGGATCGAGGTTCTGGGACTCCTGAACTCTTTCAATCTCTGTGTTGATCGCATCAATGCATTCTCTCAAACTGTTCTGTTGTGTTACACGAACTGTAGGCAAACCGGGAGCAAAGTGACCAGCGGAGAAGCTGATGTTGACTGCTGTCTCCTCCTTATCACCGGTTAGGACCCAAACCTACAAAAAAAGGAAACAAAAGATGACATATCAAAATTCTGGTAGTGAAATGATACTAAGTTGCAGGCTATCGTCATTTTGCCTCCATGCCGGTAGCATTGAGCTCCTCCGATG